AGGGGAAAAGACATACAGAAATTAAGAAACAAGGTAAATGTTTTTATGAATTAGAAATAGAACAGAAATAGAAAGCAGAAAGACAAGATGGGGCCAAGGGCTGTGAATCTGGAACCAAAGACAAATGGTAGTCTTAGGACTAATGGTGCTTATAGCAGACAGATCCGAAGGTGGCCCCATGATTTCCACCTCTTGGCCTTCATGCCTTCTGTAATTCTCCTCAATGTGTGTGTTAATCAAATAGGATTTTGTCCTGGTTCAGTATGACTTAATCAGGTGAAAGCCCTTTATAGAGGGTTTGACAACTCCTGCCTGCCCTCACAGGAAGAGAAAATCTTTTTGTAGGTTTGATGAAATAAGCAGGCATGTTGAAGAAGTCCTTGTGGTAGCTTCTGGTGCCTAAGGTTTGCTTCCAACAAATAGTCAGCAAGAAGCTGGGTCCTCAGTCATACAGCTGTAGGTAAATGAATTCTGCCAACAACTGAATGAGTTTAAAAGTGTATTCTTCCCTAGTTAATCTCCCAGATGAGAATGTAGCCTGGCAAACTATTGTAAACTTGAGAAACACTGAACAGAAGATGTAACTTTTGGCCCACAGAAATTACGAGCTAATAAATGTGCATTGCTTTAACATGTTGAGTTTGTGTTTATCTGTTGTATGGCAATAATTAATGCAGTACCCCATGCAGGAATGTTAGGTCTGGTGGAGGGTAGACAGGTGGCAAGGAAATGGCTAAGGGCAGAGAGAGGAAACCTAATTGCAACTAGGAACCAAATTGCAGCTAGCAACTGTTCCCTAGTGGGAACACACCCAGTAAGGGGTTCCTAATGACCTGTAACTGACCTAGAGCTCATTACCATCTGATTAGCATGGTCTGGGTGGAGTTTCAGGAAGAATTCTGGGGAAGATGCTTGTGTAGAAGGAGAACTGTTACCTTTCATGTGATGTTATATAACCCTAACCTGTCAATCACCCAGAAACGCAGGAAACAGAAACCAATCCTGCCACAAAGAAGGTGGGACAAACTAGTGAGCTTATAAAAGGCAACACGTGCTCAGACTCTGGGTCTTTCTCTAAGTCTGGAGACAGAGTCTCTCTTCTCTCTGGGGCATATTTTCACTTTGTGTAGCTTCCTTATTTATTTTCATTCTTTCTTTTCTTTAATAAACTGTATGAGATTCCTTTGTGTTTTTGGTAGCTGCAACATTCTCTCAACTCCATACAAGTACTCATTCTTGACACTAGGAACTAGGGACCAGGAAATACCCAGATGGACCTAAATGGAGTAGCATCTGGAGTAGTACCCAGATTTGATACTATTCCAGAGCTGAGACTTGCATACGTGTGAACGAAGTCAATAAAAAGGCTAGCGACTTGACTCCATAGAAAACTGTGGCTATAGGAAAGTTTGAGGACTGAAACCTAAGAATCCCATCAAGTTGGTAGCTGACTCTAGTTGCCAGATCTTTGATACCACCAATATCTCTCCAGAAAGGAGCCTTAGAATGCTGTTATAAACTTGGTTTGGGATCAGTGGCTCAGGAGTGCCACAGAAAGGCAATTACAGGCACCTAAAAAACGAAAACCACCACATCTCAGGTAAAAATAAGCACAATCCAAAAATTACGCACAAAAAAATATGCACAAATCCAAAGACGCGTGAAGAAGGCTGACGCTAAGAAATGCAAACAAAAACCACAGTGCTCCAAGCATGAATTCATCGCAGGCGAAATTAATTGTATGGAATAGTTTGACACACGTTTTAAAATATACGTAATGAAGTAATAGTATCTATTAAAAGTCATAAAAATTTGCAAACGAACACGTCCCAAGAAAAGTTTGAATATGAAGATGAAAGTAGAAGCCTTAAAAGTAAAAATTCATTGTATGCAATACATTCTACACATTTGTGAAGAGAAATTAGGAAATATGAAGATGTTTTTTGAGAAATTCACTCAGGATGGAAAAGAAGAAAATACAGACCAGACGTTCACGCACTTACGCACACACCCGCGCACACGCACGCACACGAAAGTCAAGACCTGAAAAACATATTGATTCAATGATACGTGCAAGTGGAGTTTCAGAAGAAAAGGGGGAATATTAAAAGAAATAGAAAATAACAGCTAACATTTTCCAGAACTGAGGAAAGACTAGATCATCAGATCTTACCTGAAATCTGGTTGTCACTTTAGATAGAGCAAGAGTAAACAGCATGTACTAGAAGAGACAAAGTCATCAGTTAAATCTGAGGGGATCTGAAAAATTTTTAATGCTCCCCAGATTCACCAAATTAAAATGGAATACAGAAATGCATGCTTTAAAAAAATCTTCAGTCTTCCTCTCCAAAACTCATAACCTGAAGTCTAATCATGAAAAAAATTATCAGATAACCTCTGATAACAAAGAACATTCTGCAAAGTACCTGTACATTATTTCTCAAATCTGTCAAGGCCATCAAAAATAAAGAAAGTCTAATAACCTTACAGCATAGAAGTTCCTAAGGCAAGATGATCACTAAATGGAATGTGGGGTCCTGGCTGGGGTCCCAGAATAGATAAAGAACATTAGATAAAAACTAACAACTGTGAAGGTATGGATTGTAGTTACTAATCATGGATTAATATTGGTTAATTAATGGTAAAAATGTGTCTTCTTAATAAAAATACTGAAGAGCAATGGACTGGGCTGTGTGTGAACTCTGTATACTATCTTAACAAATTCAAATGTCTTTATAAACTATTAAAAATAAAATAGCCCAAATTTTCATTATCAGCCTGCTTTCAGATTTGTTTTAATCTCTCATGATACAGATGAGAAAATCAAACTACTTTGTTAAGTACTTATCTGGTTCTAACAACTGTTAATATTAGAGATAATAGAATAGTTATCAAATTATGATTGCTATAAATCATAATTGCAAGTATCTTTTGAACTATCTTAGGATTAACCTTAATTTGGATTTGTCAGTTTAAACTGAACCATAGCAATATTTTAATAGCAATTGTTGTAGTTTAATTACCAAAATGTGCTTTTTTTTTGCGGTTTTGGCCAGAGCTGTGTTTGAACCACCACCTCCAGTATATGGGGCCAGTGCCCCACTCCTTTGAGCCACACATGCGGCGTGAAAATGTTCTTTTTTTTTTTTTTAATGTGCTTATTCTTAAAGTCCTTGAAATGGTACTTAGAAATGGTGGGGATTGCAAAATCATTTTCCATTAGTATTAAAGTGTGTTGGTGAAGTATTTTTTTTCTGTACCGTGCTGGCACTCATGTAATATGTAGAAAGCTAAGTAAGAAACATCCGTTCTTAAAAGAACAGGAAACTCTTATTGCTACCCCTTTTCTCCTTTAGTCCCCTCTTCTTAAGTATTTTCTTAAAGTTTTTTTTCTTCACATCCATTTTCTGGTGGTTATCCAGAAGAGTATCACCTTGACTCAAAAGCAGTCTAGCCCCACCAATCCCACTCGTCAACATACTTTGTTGTCAGACTGATTTATTTCTTTTTCTTTTCTTTCTTTCTTTCTTTTTTTTTAGAGACAGAGTCTCACTTTATTCCCTCAGTAGAGTGCTGTGGCATCACAGCTCACAGCAACCTCCAACTCCTGGGCTTAGGTGATTCTCTTGCCTCAGCCTCTGGAGTAGCTGGGACTATAGGTGCCTGCCCAGCGCCCAGCTATTTTTTGTTCCCATTTGGCCAGGGCCGGGTTCGAACCCACCACCCTCAGTATCCAGGACCAGTGCCCTACCCACTGAGCCACAGGCACTACACTCAGACTGATTTTTCTTATTTGCCATTTCAAGAATGTCTCGTTTTATATTAGACTAGCTCACTAAGGAAGCTATCTCTAGTGAAAAGACAATTTCTCTCTGGTTTTGCCCCTTACTAAGTGTATGTGAACATCAATCTCTTTTCAAATATTTCATCACAAGGAGTAATGTTGCATATTAATATGACCATTCTGTTTCTTCAGGTTTTTAATTAAGAGTAATAACCTAGGAACAAATTATTCAAAATTCAGCAAGTGCCAGGTCCTATGAAAATTGTAAAACTGAAGTATTTCATTTAATCCTTCCAAGAAGCCTATGGAGAGAACTATGCCATTATCATCCTGATTTAGAGATGAAGACTTAAAGACTTAGCTCGCTTCTAAGACTTGTGCACAGTTCAGCAGGTTAGGGGGAGAGCAAGGATTTGATTCCAAACTTTAAGCCAAAACATATACCACCTGTCCCACTGCTTCAAGCGGCTATTTTGCTTGATAACAACAATAAAACAACAACTAACATCTATAGAACACTTACTATGTGTCAGGCACTTGTCTAAATGCTACTGCTTGTCATTGGAACTCAATTTTATTTCTAGAAAACAGCTTTCTTATATGTACTTCCCACAGACTCTGATGCCAAAGAAGACAAAAAATAATAATAATAATAATACAATGCTACAATGCTCCATGGCCACAATTAGATATTCAGCTGTGTTGACATTAATACTATGTAAATTCTCAGCTTGATGATCTGGCCTTCTGAAACATCTATCTAAAGCCATTATCTACATTTCCTTCTAATGCTATCTCAAGAGTTTTGTTTTGTAGCTCAGAAGGCTGCGCTAAGGTACTTACACCAATGATTGCAAATTAAATGTCTACCATCCAAGCTCCATGATACGTCATGGAATCTCAAGTTTGGCTCATATGCTCGGAAATCCATACAGTGGATTTCCATGAAATTAAGAGATCTTGATGAGAAGTATTATGAGTTTTCATAAACATAGTGGAAACTGAATATTAACTGCATCATTTACTAACTTAAAACATTTATTCAGAATATTCTCTTTTAATACAAAGGCAATAAGATATTGCCTCAAAGATCTTACAACCCTATTGAGAGGGTGGAGGGAAAAAAAGGAGAAATGGGAAGATGATAGAGAGAAAATCATTTCTACAAAGGAGGAAAATGTCAGAAGAGCTAATAAAAAATTTATATAGAGCCTAAAGCTTTGCACAGTGGCAGTATCATAGCCAATGAGATTTATCCAAGGTGCGATTATTGCTAATTGAAAACTTTTCCCAATACTGGGCAGTGACAACTTGCAATATAGTCAGCACTGGCAGATCTTGACAGTCTCTATGGAGACAGAATAAAAAAAGAAAGAAAGAAAAGAAAAGAAATAGAGCCTAAAAGAAGTTTTAGATTTTCTTGAGAACATGACATTTGAGCAGAATTTGATAGTTAATTTATTTTCAAAGTCAAAGGAGCTCCCATTATAAATTGATCTCCGTGAAAAGAGGGGCTTTGCTTCTTTTTGGTTCATAGTACACTAAAAATCTTACATTAAATGGATAAATGAATGGTGGCTTAGCAGTAGGAGGCCTTATATGAAAACATTTACTCCTAAGAAAGTTAAATTATATCTATGTTGTTTGACAACTCCAGACACCATTGGTTTTCACATAATTTAAAAAGCAGCTAGAATCCAGCTGATTAATCAAGTGAATTCAGTGTTAGATATTTCAAATTTCCGTGGGGTCATGAAGATTTTTAGGAACTAGGACATACCTGATAACAAAAACGAATGACTTCTAAGAATCATCTGAAGTTGAGGAAAAGTCAAGGAGACCTGCTTTTTCCACTAAAACTCACCACAGATACATCCATCTCTTGCTAGACTGGAACAAAATCTCAGCAAAAGCTATTAGATGACTAGAAACTCAGACAGAAAAATTTCTTGAATGAGTAAAACAGAATGAAGAAAATGTAGAAATTAGTTGCAAATGTTCAACAAGTTCTTCAAAATACAATGAACTGTCTGCATCCCATTGTAAAAAACTTCACTCCAGCAAAACTGGAGCATCTCAAGCTATGGACATGTGCTGCATGGTAGAAATATAATGGAGAAAGTTGCGGAACATACACATGTTCATTTAAAATAAAATCCTAATCATATTTGAAATGTCATTATCACTGTGAGTCATTCCTGAAATGATCTCCCCTCCTTTTCTGCACCCTAGCTCTTTGTTCAAGGCTTTCTCTTGACATCAATGTGGTCTGTAGTTCCTTAAGTATATCTCAAATTCCTTTTATAATGTGAGTTCCTTGTGTGCATGAATGACATCTTCTCATTCTTACATCTGATCCCTCTTCTTCTAGCTTTCCCTTACAAACACACACATAAATGTTTATTGAGTTGACAGAAAACTACAACCTAATGGGGAAAACAAACTTGAAATTTCCTGAAATAAAGGAGATATTGTAAAGCAATACTGATAACAGGATTTATGATGGTAATACATGATATTAAAAAACAGCCATAAACAGAAAGATAAGCAAAAATTGGTACTATACATATCATGATAATAATGTTAAGAATATTCACTGATACTGATAGACACGTATTTAATGAAAATTGGGAAGTTTATGTTAGATCTTTTGTTAGGGGCTTATATTACATATAACTCTTCTTCTCATAGCTCTGGAATTAATAGCTTTTACATAACGTTAAAATGCCTTTTGATGATCACCTTGGAGTTGCTTCATGACGTTTATCCCTTATGTCAGTTAGGACACTCTCCTCTACAGATATTATGCTATCCATCTACAGCAACCTAAACAATAGGAGTTTTATCTCATAAGATAAAATAAGAGGAAGAGGAAGCCTGGAAGTTGGAGGTCCAATGTTTGCTGCAGTGCCTGTATGATGCCATCTGGATTTTAGGCTCTTTCTGTCCACTGCTTTCTTGCTTACAATATGGATGCCATAGCTGCACATCCAGTATCCTCGGTAAGAAGGCTAAGTGTAGACAGAAACAAAGACTTTCCTTCCTGAGCATCTCTCTTTTATAAGAAATATTCTTAGAAGGCATTTCTCAGCAGATTTCACCTGATGTTTCATTGGCAAAATTAGGTTACAAAAGCAATCACTAGCATAGGGGAAAGCTAATGCTATGATGTGCTTAGACCAGGTGAAATTCACCCAATAGAGCTGGCAACTCACTGCCTTAACAAAATTAAGATTCTGTTAACAGTGATGGAAGACAAGTAAATCCTAAAAGGAAACCTCGAGTGCCTGTAACATCACATGTGATAATCCTCTATAATCAGTGACATAGACAGTTAGCAAAAATACCTGAAAATACTTCATTGCTTTACTAGTTTCAAATGATCTTTTTATATGACAGCCTGGGTGAAGTGCCAACAGGAGCTGTGTTAATGTGCAGCCCCTCTACATACTGTAAACGGCAAAGGTAACCTTACACTTGAAATCTCAATGCCTATTTCAAGTAATGCAAGTTAATGAAACAGATTGTCTTAACAAAAGCAGCAGAACTTAGACAACCAAATGAATGTTCTTCTACAAAGTAAGTACTTACCTTGGGAAACCACGTGCTTCCAAAGTAGCCACCTGTCAAAGAAAGCGAGAACTAATCTTGAAGAGGTGCAAAATCGTTAGGAGTATGTTCAGTGATTAGAAATCTTTGTCTTTTGTGAATGACTTTGCTTTTGGGGAATACACACATGCCATTCTGAGACAACCACAGAGCATTGGATAGATAGGCTGAGCAAGGCCATATGATGGTCAAAAAATAATGACAACTAAGAAATATCTTATTTGCTTAATGTGACTAGTTAACATTCTCCAGAAACCATTCCAAATGGGAAATTGCAAATCTGCTTTGAGAAATGGAAACAGACTTGAAGGGCATCTGAAACACAACTGCAGGGCAACATTATTTTATGAAGTTATTTTTGAAAGTATGTTTAAAATCAGTTTGTACCTATAGTTACCTTGAAACTAAACCAGTTTTTAGATAAACTGGTTTATTTAAAACAAACTATCCTCAAACATATGAGGTTTGATATATATGAAAATATATATTTGAAGTAAGATAATTATTAAAGTCATTTATCCTAAATGCTTAGGACAAAATAAGCTGTAGACAAATGCTAATTTTGGATAATGAAGCAGTCAATCTCAAGTAAGTACTAAGTTGAAGAACATTTACTTGGAAATGGAAATTTATTAATTATGATTTTATGATTATCATCTGGTGGTAAATGTAGTCTTCCTATCCACTGAAAGTATTTGGAAATTCAACTTATGGAGAAGTAGCCTAAAGTGTACCATAATAGAACTTATGTTTTCATTCTGACTGTGAATGCCACAGTCAAAGAAACAAAGATTCTTCCTGTGTGAGAAGAATCATAATATAAAATAATTACTTAGGTTTTTATAGGCAGTGTAGATTACATAGATGCATGACTGCCAATTCTGGCATGGATTTGGCCTGCAACAGTGGTAGCAACAACTCAAACGTTACAAATTAAATCACCAGTTTAGGTTGGCACAGTCCTTCAAGTTAAGTACAGTACTTTGATTTCCACTGTCAATGTTTTAATTACTGAAGTAAACAGTTAGAAAACCACAAAGTCATTTAGAACTTTAGGTGTGGACTTGGAAGTCTTACCAGCACTATTTATGGAAATTACTCTAGATGAGCAATAGTATAGTTTACTTAACAAAATAGTTGTGTTTGATTTTAAGTACACTTATAAGAAGGGCAATTAGTTCACGAAGAAAGTGATGAGTCAGGATTGGCGAGTGTGCTTTCTCTCCCTAACTTAAATACATGGTAAGATAGGCAAATATAAAAATATGAAAGATGATTAGGTATTTTGAAAGTATAACTGACATAGTGTCTTGGTATATTATATTATTAATGATTTGGCAAATATTTATAAAATTTTTGTCCTATTAAAACTATTTTTACTAGAACAAAATTTTTACATAATAGATTTTATTTCTCTTTAAAACCCATTCCATTTTTTTACTTTATTTTCCCCAAGAAATTTTTTTTAACTTTCCTAATTATATAAGAATATGAGAGATATATATATATATATCTCATATATATATATATGTAAGGCAATACATCACTTTGGGTGACTAAGTATAGTCTGTTTTTATCACAAAGACTTTCAGTGTGTGCCTTTTCTATATACTACTTCTCTTAATACAGTATAACTCCATGAAAAGGTGGAAGCTATACTTTCTGAGGGCTTTTCCTTACTCCTGTATTTGCCAGAGATATTCAGTACATTCCTATTATTTGTTGATTTAATCCATACTAGGAGATAAGTGTCCTCTCTGCCTTCTCCCTATTGTACGAGTGCAAAATTCACTTCTTTTGAGTCTTTTTTATTTATCTGATTGCTGAACTATTAAGGTTATTCTGTGTATACGCTGACTAGTTTCATTTTGTAATTAGTCTCTGCTATAACACACATCAAGAATTTCTGTGTTTTCACATTATTCACCATCAAATTAGTTTTGCTCAATGTAAACTAACACACATAGGTAGACACATTTATATTTTGATATTCTTTTCCTTGTGATAGCAAATATTATGAAAGACTCTTGCCTTTTTAACTTCTTAAATCATTTTATTAAGTTAAGTTTAGCAGTGAACTGTCATTGAACAGGATTTCATGTATGAAAACCAAGCTTATTACCTTGTTTATAAAACTTAGTAAACTGTGATTATTATTATTTACATTCTCCCACGTTAGCAATAAATTAAACTATGCAAAGCAAATGAAGAGTCACAATTTATAATTTTATTTGTGTGTGTGTATATATATAAAGTAATGCCCATGCTTATAAAGGCAAATCTCAGGTATTTCTCAACAGTCATTTCAGGTAATGAGAAGTATACAAAGAAGAAATATGTAGATTTACTACTGATTCTGATACTTAGCCTTGAAATACCTGAATTACATCAAGACCTTTATACCAAAGTCAACTAGAAATGTTCATGAGGAGGAAATGCATAAAAACTGCTTTTCAAAAATAAGTCATCAATTGATAAAGCATTATTATATTTGCAGACTCTGTTTCATTGCAATGGTAATTATGAATTGAATTAAATGATTACATAATGTTTGAATCTAAATGTAGCCACTGTTTTCTCTTCCACTGGTGTCCACCTAACCTGCACCTTTATCACATTGTTTGATAACTGTAGGCTCATCATTTCTCTTGCCTTCTTAATAACCTATAAGAATGCACAAAGTGGCTCGGCGCCTGTGGCTCAAGTGGCTAAGGCGCCAGCCACATACACCTAAGGTGGCGGGTTCGA